GGTATCTATATAGAAGAGCGCAGGAACTATCACATTTTGAACGAAAATTTTTTGAATTTTTTTTGAGTTTTTCTAAAAAAATCATTTTTTTTATTTTTGGGGGTCAAAATCCCAAAATTTCGAAAATCCGAGATAGCAGTTTTGTAGCGCCGTCTTTTCTCTACACAACCACATAACGAACTTTAAAATTGCTTGTTAACTGTAGAATTGGTGAGCGTTTCAAGATGTCATGTTTTTTGCTCATTTTTACTCGAACATGACCTCAGTTTGACCTCAATAACTCCTGACCTGAGGTGACCTGTGACTTGAAATTTTGTGTGAATGTGTCAAATTGATGTCCGGTAAGGTACCCAAAATTTGGCGGCGCTGCGCGCCGCCGTTTTCTCGCTATTTAAGAAAAACCACAGGGGGGGCCAAAATGCCCCCCCCCCATCAGGGCGCGGGTTAAACTATTACAATGTAGCCATTGAATGGAGCTTGCGTGACACGTGTTTGATGAGTCATTTATCCAGGGCTGCGGAATCGATGGATTTTCAGCGACTCCGACTCCGACTACGACTCTGGCTTTCAAAAACCAGCTCCGACTCCGACTCCGACTCCGGGCAGAATAGTCGACTCCGACCGACTCCAACTCCCGACTCCGACTCGGCAGACCTAGCAGGGCTGCGGAGTCGACAGATTTTCGGTGACTCCGACTCCGACTCCGGCTCGGGTTTCTAAAATCGACTCCGATTCCGACTCCGAATCCGGTCACAACTGTCGACTCCGACCGACTCCGACTCCGACTCCGACTCCGACTCCGCAGCCCTGCATTTATCTGTAGAATGCAAGGGTGATGCTCAAAATACGTAATTTTGACCGAAGCTGCATGACGATTAGGTCGAGGTCAGACCAGCGTCGGGTCAATGAATGGAGGAGGAAGCAAGAGAAAAAAAAACAATTTCCCCGATCATTACTTACGTGAAACAGCTGAGCGGATTGTGTTCCATTTTCCTCGCATTTCCGTCCTTCGCTGCCACTGGAAATGTGTTTGTAAATGGAGGGAAACTCTTCTGTGATTCTCTTGAGCCTTTCCCAGCACCTCTGCTAGTCGCGATGTGGCCCAGGGAGTTCCGATCTTCTTCCCAATCATTGTGCTGGGCGTGAGGCAGGTCAATTCGCTCCAGAGCCACGTCAGCCGAGGAGTGTGTCGTCCCCTGTCTCAGGGGTGACAGCTTGCCGAACATCACTATCCAGAATATGGCGCCGCAGAACAGGGAGGTCCTGACCATGGAGGACCGACCCAGCAGGTAGTGGCGGCGGCAGACGACCTGTGGAGGTAAGCCACACTCATTGGAATCCATTGGTGGATCTAGAAGGCGTTTATGACCATGTTTTCCAGGTAAAAACGGTTCATTCGTCAACCACACAAACAACGCTCAAAATCGTTTTTGGTTAAGCATTACTTTTAAATGTAATTAAGTACATGGAAACCAGAAACCAGAAACGAATTCGCCAGAAAATTCAGATCTAAGCAGGAGTATCTCAGCTGCGTGGACACTGGTCACTACCTCACCATGTTGAACTCCTCGGCGGCACCCACTCTGGATCGCCCACATACGACCCGTTCAGACCAGAGCTCCTCTCGCGGCGGCACCCACTGTGGATCGCCCACCTACGACCCGCCGAGGCCACGGCTCCTCCCGCGGCCCGACCGCCGCTCCAAAGCGCCTGCCGTGGACTGGCGGCCAACCGGCGCGGGGCCGGGAGCCTGCTGCCTCCGGCGGTGGCGAAAATGACTGGCGGTCTCAAAAATATGGTGACTCTTTCGGTAGGAGAAGTTATAATGGTAAACAAAGAGCATGCTCCAGAAATGGTAAAATGCAATGTATCTTGGCGCTTTCAGTACTCAGTACCTTTTGACGTTTTTGGAGACTATAACTAGTGGCGTCTTTGCGGTGACGCAAGGTCTATTATACCTACCTTCAACAATTGCAGAGGAGTTGCTACCCAAGACACCATGCTGCTTTCGAAATAATTTCGAATAACCTCTTCCAATAACATAAACTTGTAACACCAAAAACATAAGTTTGATTTTCTAACTACATACTGAAAAACCGTATAATGGCGAACATTTTTTAAATTGCTATAGGCGACAGCCTAGTAAATTGTTAATTGTTATGATGGGCACGATTTATATAAAATTCCAAGAAGACTTCGAAAATTGAAAAAAAAACATTTTCCTGTATGTGTCACTCATTCAAAACGTAGGTGCATGAATACATAATAGACTTCTGGACACCCATACATAGAATTAATTTGCTGTACATTTTCTCCTTCTTTAACCATCGCCCGTAAACGGTGTTTTGCCACCTTCGCCCATGCAGGGGGGGGGGGGTGCGACCCCCCCCCCTGGCGTTTGAAAACGGAGCGTCGTAGAGCTTAGCGGAAAAGACCAACGGATTGCTCTCAACGAGATCTCGCGATTGGTGGTATATTTTTTGGTCCTAGGTCAACATTTGGCCTACTTATGACCGGTCAAAGGTCAAATTTTCTGAAAAATATAACTTTTTCAGATTTCGGCGCCGATTGCGGCAAAACGGTAAGAGATATCAACTTGAAACCTTCACTATCGTGATCCTTGATCAATTCTCTATCGTTTGGTGTATATTTCGATGTCATAGCTCTAAAAATGATGCGTTGGGAGCATCGGAAGTCTGCAAGGTCATTTGTGCATTGGGTCACGTCAGGAGTGTGACGTCACTGACCTGACCCTGACCCAAAATGAACTACAAGAAACAACCGACGATGCCTGAAATGGATAGCAAATTCGAATTCAGGGCATCAAAATACCCCGAAAAGGCATACAAGTGCAAGAAGTCATTACAGGTCAACCGAGGTCACTGACCTTACCTTGACCTTTAGTAACCTTCAAAATGTCAACGGACATTGTGCCAATGTCAAATCAGCTAGTTGTGATTCTAAAACAATCCATCAGTGTGTCAGGTCAGTCGGCATTTATACCAATGTGAAGCAATCTCCAATTTAGCGTAAATCTGGCCGGAGGTTGTTCCCTTTATGACGTCATAACTCCGTGACCTGACATGACCTTAACAAAAAAAAATTACCAAAAGTTGCGTAAAGGATGCCCCAAAGGGTACTGAAAATTTGAGCAGGCTATCTGAAACGGTTCGGCGTGTAGCTAAGAAAAATCTCAGGGGGGGGGGGGGTTGCACCAACGCCCCCCCTACATGGGCGAGGGTTAACAAAACAACGGTCGTTTTCACGACGGGCCTTGCGTGGCACATGCATCTAATTTGACCAGATCTGCACCAAATGTCTTTTGCAACAAATATCTTCATATCATTAATACATTCAGAGTTAAAATCGAAAACAATGTCTATAAATGAAAAATCAAGCATATAAGCAATAAGTGCAGCCATAGCTGATTGCCAACAAGAAACAAAATGAACCTAATATGACCAAATCTACACCAAATCTGCACCAAATGTGAAACAAAAGTGTACCAGATAGCCGTCGTGAAAAATCTAATATCTACAATTTTTATACGGATATGACCTTTTTTGTTAATGTTTAAACGCCCATGGTTTCGTGCAAAAAATACTACTTTCATTTTCCTGCAAAATATTCAAGGCGGTTATGAACATTCAGCCTAATGAAATAAACAGACCCTGTTATAAATAGATTCCAGTCGATTTCTAGACGTCCACCCACGGCTAGCAGGCAGGCATCGTTAGCTGAATCATGGTACCTGTGAATGTCTATATCAACAGTTGCGCCATCCTGACTGTTAATGAGTTTCGTCAAATCTAAGGTCTGAGCACCGGAGGTGAAGCTTTTCCAAGGAAGATGGTGGGGCGAAATGTTATCAAGCTAACAATGCCCGGTTGTCAAGTGGAATAAAGTGCTACACTGAAACAAGTTCTATCATCGCAGAGACGTTCTTTCGCATTAAACAGTCATTCGAACGATCCTCAATTAAATTGTAAGGCTATGCAGTCCTAAAAATGAGCTAAAGTAGGTGGGACACAACGCTTATTGGTGTGGAAAAATGGCAAGATGGTGAGGCAGTCGCCCCACCAACTGATATAGGAAGCTCCGCGCCTGACCGATGCCTTTCAAAATGAACGAACCTCGATGCGTGCCGCTTTTAACCGTTTCAATTGGTACTCTGTTCGCAAATATGTGATATAGCTTTAGTTTGGAAAATTTGTTCTATGCTACGAATCATCCGAGATCAACAATGCAAAGGTCAATAGACATCGAACCCTGCAAGGAGTGTATGAAATCACGATTCCATGTGTGTGACATGGTCTTCGCCTATTTCCGGCACACAATTAGTGGTTCCCGTATTCTCCCATTGACCTATGATGGTGAGGCTACCTGATCGAACTGGTGAACTGAAGACTGATGAATTGGTGGTCACCTTGCTGAAAAATATGAGGTATACAAGTTGAGTGGGCTGGAGAGCTTCTTAACGCTGAGGGCGTTGCGAAGTTGCGACATTTTAGGACCATGCGGAGGCCTACGACATGGGTCAGTTAACTGGCCTGACTTGACCTGACTTCAGTTGATTTGGTTGGTATCACAAAAACAATCAAATTAGTATTTGATTCAAAGGTGGGAATGGGATAATGCTTATAATACCGAAATATGTGCAAAACAAAATGAAAAAAACGCGAGAAGATATTGGTAACGTACTTGACTGCAATCCTATGATAACAATCACATAGAGTTCTCATATTTACTATGTAAACCCTTCGTTACACCTACTTCTGATTGCAAGTCGTCAATGACGGTGGTGGCCCTGTGACTGTCAACATCCGGCTGTTCCCACTCTGGTGGTGCGATCATGTGACCTCAGCGCCAACGCCAACATTCGCCCTGTCACCGGAGCCCCTTACGCCACGCGCGCTGATGGCTTGGAAAGCGACTGGAACCGCGGCTGGTAAACAGAGCCCAAATGGAGGACCGGTAAAATTAGTCATGGAGACCACGCCGCAGGAACGAGGTGAAGGCAGAAGGGGTGGTCAGTTTGAGAGGAGCCGTTGGGTCGAAGAGGTCGCCGGTTCCGCAGGTCGTGAAGAGCAGCCCTCTGACATCTGATCATGGTCAGTATCCGCCAGTGGCCCGTTAGAGTGAAATGGGCACAGTCGTGGACCTCTGTGCCATATACCTACCTTTGCATACTGATATGGAGGGATTTATGTCCCTGCACTCAGTGGTGGCCTATCCGACACTAAGCTTTTTGCAGCCTGCCAGCTGCGTCCCTGCCTGGCGCCGTCTGCATTGATAGTAGGTTTTTGTTAGCATATGGGGCCACCCCTTCCCTCCTACCTCGTGCTGGGCTGCTTCTGCGGGTGGAGGGCATTGACCTTCTAGTGATAACCTATACAGCGACTCGCTGTCAGGTGACCACCGCGGTCACCAACCCACGACATTTCCCGGTGTCGTGTCGTGAAGAGTGTCACCAGCTCTGCGGGCTTCGAGCACCCTACCTAATCAGGAAGGCCCACAGTAGTCCACCAGCCTGCACTCTGACCTAGTGACCCGACTTCACGTGGTCAAGGAACTTACATAGATCTAGCATTAGGAATGTAAATTGGCCGTGCCTGAAATCGTGGACCTGTGTGCATAATAGACGTTTATCCCATTGTTGAATATGCTGAAATGGTTGCAAGCTTATAGATTCCTATTGCACATGCAAGGACGTGTAGCTGCATGCTTTTAGATAGTTTTACCTTTTAGGTATATCTAAAAGTTCCACGACAAATCCACGACAAAAAATCACTTGTTATTTCATCCAATTAAGATAATTTACCCAATTGTGACAAAATAGCAACATACTCAGTTACACTGTAAAAAATATTGACTAGCCCCTCGTCAAATGATTCTCAACGCTAAATGTCGGGGGTACAGGCTAGTTTTGCATCCTACTTTTGACACACGGTGCGAGCCCCCGGCTTGTTTTGTGTTCGTCAGATGACAGTTACCAGGTGTCGGTTAGTTTTTACCACGTCCCAAAAATAGCTGGAGCGTTTCTGCCTTGTTTTGGAAGCAGGTCCTCGTTAATGCTGTGTATGATAACAACCTACCTAGTAACAATAATAACGAAAAACAATGTCAAAACGAGGGCGGCTTGTTTAGTGACGATGCTCAAAAGAAGCATCGTCTTGTTCCTACTTAACGAATGAAGCTCAAACTAGGTCAAAACTAACGTATTGCTCAACCCATAGTCAGATGACCAGCAGATCCTACGCCGCCCAATCCAGTCATCGAATTTGCCAGCGAATTCGTTTGAAGACCATCATATTATTAAATATCGGTGGTCTTCAAACGAAATCTCTTACCAGTTTGATGACGAATTCATCCGGCCCATTCCAAAAACGCTCAAGATAAAATGAAAGTGTATTTCTGAAATAATATGCTTTCTTGCAATGCACCTTTCGTATATCAAGCGAACCTTTCACTTCCAGCGCCCGTTAACAGTTATCAATCGAATCAGAAGCATGCACATATCGATAGATCTGAACCTAAGAACACAGAAGACATTTTGTAGAGTACCTGTCTGAGCCTATGCAGTGGAGCCCGTGAGCCGCCCAACCGCAGCTGCCTCATGAACTTGATGATAGGTCTGAACCTCAGATTGGCCAGAGCTTGGCCGTCAATAACCAGCTTATTTATATCCACAATTGTAGTGACTTAGGGTTTGGAATTTGCCAAACCTAAGTTTTGATTACCAAGAGAAGTTTTGTACTTCTTGCACTTGCCTTTTCTTCATAACTTTGGCGGAAATCGTCGTAGTGAAACTTCAGTGATCCGTTAGCTGTCGGTTCTTGAGAGAGTTGGCCAGGCCGGACACCGGGGGCGGCTCCACAACTTTTGAAAAATTAAACCAAAGTCCTATTGCACTGCATGGAGAGCAATTCATTTAAAATCGCTCTTGTCCCCCCCCCCCCCCTCGACAACTTTGCAAACGTCTCTGCGCGATTTAGTTGAGAATAATGGCTTATGGCAAGTTATTGAATCAGAACGTCGATCACTGCAGGTCATATATCGGCAAGCAATTCTTCATAACTAGACACTGCACAAATGGAAACGATACAGGTTTGCCCAGTGATAAACACTCGCACTGCACAGACGCGCGCACCTCCGACCGAACGCGGCACGGCACAGCGCAACTGGCGCCGGGAAGCCGGGAACGCATTAAGTGAAGGATTCACAGGTGCGCAACTTTATTGCGAACAATAAAAACCTACCGCAAACGATTAAAAAAAAAAGTTTTAGGGCAATCGGAAATACAAATGTATTGACTTATAGAAATAAAATTGTCATTCACCTTCCAAATAACCCAACAATTTATTTGCCGTAAAAAGTGTCTGGAAATGGAAAGTTGCTAACATGATTCAGCAAGTAGGGAAACGCAGCAGCTACCTGGCGAATAATCTCAGGCTGGTTTAGTGACGAGTGCATTGCTACGGCTTGTTCCTCACCCTTCACAGATTACTATGACAAAACTACCCCTAGTATTTTGATCATCCTGAGGCTGGCTTTCACCTAATAATTTGATGAGGGTCTTCCTCGTTTCGGATTGAGGCGAAAACAAACGTCAAACAACCTTGATAGTTAATTCAGCACTTCAAAACAAAGGTACACCTAGGGTATCATCACAATACCGGATCATAACGACCTGGATAGTTCTCAGCCTGTAAGCTAACTAAGCGGTAACTAGTCAAGTGGTAGGTACCGGAAGCATTGACAACCTGGTGACTGTTTCGAGACCCTTGTTTTGACACATAGCTCGTCAATATTTTTTACAGTGTAGGTACGTATGTTCATTATGTGCAGTTGCTTTTGTATAGTGCGATCTATTCAGCGCACAAAATATGTACATGACACTGTTTTATTAATTTGCAATCTGGATTGCACGGCTAGGATTATAAGGCCTTGCCTTTGACTCTATGATGCGTTTCGTGCTCTGCAGGACGAGCTAGAACCGGAACAGGTCACCAGTAAGTGGTCTATATATGACGCGTCCGCCCAACGGTGTGCTCTAATCCATGTCATTGTCCAACGCTGGAGGTCATGAAGATCCCCGCACACATGTAATGGTGAAGTCGTAGTTTTAGATAATGCATTGCGTAGTGCGTTAGTCTATAGCCGTTTTAACACTAGTGTGGCGTGTCTTCGTATTGTTGACCATCAAGGCATGTTCGTCGTTCAGTTTTGATTCAATGCCCGGTATCCTATAACAATGGCTTTTAGCATGAGTTATCATTCTTTACGAGACACATTGATTTTTTGCAGACATGAACTTTCGAATGCGAGACGCTTTATAAGGTCGGTAAGTGTTGCATAATAGGAAGATCAAATCAAGTTGCAAAATCTTGTTTGTGTTTATTGACCAAAAACTAATTACAAAGATATATGTGCTCATTTTAAACCGAAATGCCAAGTCATATTGTATCTATCAACGATCCCGCGATGCACGAGCTTTGCAATATTCCACATCAACGTTTTAAAACGATGTTTATTTTGAACCCTTCCAATCGTACCAGCATAACTGAATATTCAAATGTTGCTCCGGCAGTGCTGAAGAAGGCTTTCGACGGCTTCGACCATGAAAAGAAGGGCGCCATCAGTACCGACCTGGTGGGCACCATCCTGAGGATGATGGGTCAGGCGTACAACGCCAAAACGCTGCGCGAACTCATCGACGAGGTGGATGCCGATCGTGAGTTGATAGCCGAGGGGCCGGGGAGAAATACAAGGGAAACGGGCGAAAAGGAGGTTTGAAGAGTTTGTCACGCTGCCCCCTTGTCCTGCAGACTCCGGAATGCTGGAGTTTGAGGAGTTTGTCACGCTGGCCGCCAAGTTCATCATCGAAGACGACTCGGAGGCCATGGCTAAGGAGCTGAAGGAGGCCTTTCGGCTTTATGACAAAGAGGGTGAGCTTAGACGCCGTTGGAAACTCACTTGAAGACATCATTATAGCTGACTGGGGGAGCTCAAAATGGATTTAGCAAAGGTGGTACGCCTAATGTCTTGAAGGTGGGAAATGTAAAGTACATGAATTCAATCAATGATCATAGCAACATAAAAGGTGACTTGATCTGTCTATGCAGGCTTTACCTATCTATGGATGCGCACTACGTGTATGGAATAATTTTGGCATGTGGTGACCTTGTTTCAGGGAACGGCTTTATTCCCACTTCATCATTGGCCGAAATCCTGAAGGAACTGGATGACACACTAAGTGATGAAGACCTTGAAAACATCATCAAAGAAATCGATACAGACGGATCCGGTACCCTCGATTTTGATGGTAACTACGTTTGAGGACATACCTTAGTCCTGGTAAAACTTAATTACTATTAATGAATATTTAACAAGTAACAATTTACAATTAACGTTTTTATAACGATTCTAGATAATTATTCAAATAGTGTCATTCCGGTATTTTTCAACCTGTCGACTTTTTACGCGCAGAATATCGGTTCAAGGAAGCGGCTATAATCCTTCTCGTCGTTTTGTTCCTTATCGTTCCTTATCGTTCCGTTCCTTAGCTATCTAAGCCAATGACCTATAGATCGGGAGTTGACGGTGATCCTAAATGACCTAGTTGTCATGCAAGGCCAACAATGCAAATTGAGCCGACCGGGTCATGAACTGATGTACAGTTGACATGACTATTGGCTGTTATGGTCGCGACATAACTGCGCTGTTATTTGTTGCAGAATTCATGGAAATGATGACTGGCTGAACACCGTGGTGGAAAAAAGTAAAAAACGCACGCACGCTATCACTCACAGCTCCGGAGCCCAACTGTTCTGCACTATGGTTCTGCTTTGCTCATATGCAATAATGACACGGAGCTACAAGAAAAAATAACACGATCGTATTTCGCACCTTCACATCGTAATGGCTAGCATTTTTTTCTATGCCTGTGAACATGTTTGATATAATACATTTTCGAACAATGGGATAATCATGGCATTTTGTGTCTAAGTTTATCTTTACGTGATATCTATTACATTGTGAAGCGGTGCGCCCTTGAAAAACAGCGGGGCAGTTTCCCTCCAAGCCTGAGTCCTCTGAGCAATATTCATAAATCGCTCTTATTGATCTATTCATGCATCATAAACACGTCGATACACACTGCGTATATAGATACACAGTCGATAGCAATGAACATCAGCACTGTACGTAATCAGTTGAATCCCTACCATGCATTGTTCACCACTCAGCATCAGAATTCGCGTTCAACGACCTCAGTGGCGAAGGTGTGCGGCTCTCCCCTTCTGTTCCCCGACCTCGAGCGGTGCTCGGCCTCCTGAACACTCCCGTTGGTTCCACCTCCGGGTCAGGGGACAACATGCGAGCCGGACGGTTCGACGCTTCAGGCTTTGGTTTGGAGCCCCCGTGATGGAAGTCGAACGTGGGTAAGATGTCATGTAGCTTCCTAGACACAGCCCTGGCCAGGGAGATGTGCTCTTCACTCTCTACTTTTTGAGTATGTGGCGAATGCGAAGCCGATCCAGGATTAAAGTTCGGCATAATGTCGTGCAATTTCTTGGATATGGCGGTGGCGATAGTCCCTTTGCGCTCCCCGGTATGGGCCAGAGCTTTCCCAGCCTCAGGGTCTGTTTTCTGGACGACGGCCAGCTTCTTGAATTCTGACGGAGTGAAATGTACCGAGCCTGTGCCCGTGTCGGCTGCATGATCGTCAGCCGTGTTCTGAGGACTTGGTTTCAGCCATTCAGGAACTGGATCAGCTGCAGGGCCGGACGGTCCAGCAGGGCCTGCTCTGCCTTCATCTGGCGCTGGTGAGACCTCTCCCCTTTTCTTCTTGTGTTTCTTCTTTTTGTGTGACTTTAACTTTTTATGGTGGTGGTGGTGACCCCTTTTGCTCTTTCTTTCGGAGGTATCTTTGCTTCTTTCCTCGTAACTATCTTGATCCTGCTCTCCATCTGGAGTGAACACATCTTTTTCTCCTGCTGGCGATCCTTTGTCAGAAATCGAAATTGCTCGACCGGTGTCATCATCCGTTTCCTCATGACTGACAGCATCTTCGTCAGCTTCGCTGTGCTGGGAAGACGCAGCACCCGCTTCACGATGCTGGGCCTCATCACCATCGCCCTTGCTCGTCTCCACAGCTGAATTGACGACTGGACCTGATGACACATCCACGCTCGGTGGCTTTGGCGCTTCCATCTCCAAGGGTTGAGAGCCAGCAGACGGCGAGACCTTCGCGATTGTGGGTGCTGTTGGAAGCGATGGAGGGGCGGCAGCTTTTGTGGAAGATGGCTCTGTGGGAGGCTTCTGAGTCGGAGGAGCTTCTGCGGCGCGGAACGTACTGTCGGGAGGAGTTGACTTCGCAGGGGTGTCCCTGGGAACATCAGAGATCGGCGTAGAGGGTAGTCCACCAGCAGTTCCCTCACTCCTCGTGACTGCGTCCGTCACCGAGGTGACATTGCTGCTGGCCGTAGCCTCAAACTCATTAGCTTTTGCTTCCAATGCATTTTCAACTTCAACCTCAGTGGAAGGCTTTTTCGATGTGGTCGAATGTACAGTTGGAAGTTTGATCTGATTTTGAGAAACAATAAGCCCGGGAAGCAGCGATTTTCTTTTTTCGAAGTTCTTTGGATCCTTCAGCTGCTTCTTGATGGTAACCGGGGATGGCTGGATAATTTGTGACGTCTTTCTCTTCTCAAACAGCTCCTCCTTATCGATACTTGCTGTGCTCAGACTATCCTGAACCTCCACTAACTGTTCAACAGGTTCGACCTCTACTTCTACCTCAGGGCTGGCCGACTGCTCATTGACGCGTCCACCTATCGGAGGTAGCGGAGACTTTTCCAGCCTAGTCACCGCGGATGACTCTGTCTCACGCTCCTCACCAAGCGGCTGCAGAGTGCGGGCGACGGCGGTGGCCGGTCCCACCGAGCCGACCTCCCTGGCACGGTGATGGACCACCCAGTCGCCGCGGCCCTGCTGCCGGGGCGCGGCAGCGCTCTGTTCGCGCTCCTCCTCGCCGGCGCCTCCCTGGGCGGTGACGGCTCGCCGCCGGTGAACCAACCTCGACGCGCGGCTGATGACCGCGCGGAAGAAGCGCTGGCCGATGGTCGAGCGGCGCTGCTCGTACCGCGCAGTGGTTCTCGGGTCGATCGGCTCACCCTCATGGTAGACCTCTCCGGAGGTTTGATGGCCGCTGTAGTTCGGCTCACCCGTCTGCGGGACCCCCTCGAAGGTCTGTTGTACGGAGATCGGCCCTGTCTGCAGCTGACCAATTTGAGGGCGCCACGGACCGTCAGAGGTGGACGGTTCGTGCCAGACCAGCTCCAGGTGGAAGGGCAGCGTCTGCGCGGGACGCTGCTGATGGTACCCGCCGACTCCCTGAAATAAGAATAGAGCTTAGCGGTGTCACATGCGCAGGTACTGAGCTGGTGAGATGGCAGCCAAGTTAGAGCCTATACCATACTCTCCCTGTCTCATAATGGTAGGTGCCTATATATGTTTGAGAAGTGCGGAGCATGGGCTAAGACTGTCTGAGATTGGAGGCCTCTGAAACAACAAGCACTCGGTAAAGCGAAACATTGCAATAAATAAAGGTCTTAGGTATCTGCTAGGTTTGGTCTGAAATCAATGACTAACTTTCGATGACTTTTATTGACGATGACGTTGATGTTTCTATTTCTTAAGTTTTCTTTTTCTGAAGAAACAAAAATTGACAGTGAATGGGGAGGTATTAACCCTCGCATGTGTAAGGGGGGGTCGGATGGACCCCCATGGTTTTTCGCGAATAACTCGCGCAAAAAGCGGCCGATCGCGACGAAACTTTCAGTATCCTCGAGTTGATCAATTTTACACCTACTCTGAAAATTTCATGACCCTGACCCAAGTGACCTTTGACCCGCGACCTTTTTCTCGAGGCCATGTTTGGCCGGAATCGCGATTCGGCGTATGTCGGCTCGCATTAGCCGCGCGTTTGCAAGCTTCTCGTGGTTTCAAACGCTCAAACATGAGATTTGATGTTGCTCCAATGCATTTGGGTGCATGTCAAGGTCACCTGAAGGTCAGGTCAGGTCATTGACCTTTGGTGACCTCGGTTCACTTTTTCGAGGTGTACATGCTTCGAGGCTAGTTTTTGGAGCTGAATTCGAATTTAGCAACCATTTGAACATTTACGAAGTAGTTTTGGTGCCTTCGTAACATGTTACGAAGCTGTCAGAGGCGGTTGACACGTACTACGAAATCCCGTCACGACCCCTACTGGTTGACCTGACCTGACCTGACCCGACCTGGTCTAAATGCATGAAAACATCATCTATGATCAAAACTAACACAATATTCGTGATCAGCACCCCGAAAAACCTCTTAGCAACCACACTTTACGACTTTCTAACAGGTTCCGATTTTCCCGACTTTGGGTCATTGGTTGACCTGGAAGGTCAACCAATGACCTAGGACCTTAAAATTGGGCATCATCGGCTTCCTCTCGTCACGGGCAACACGCTCCTTTTTCCGCGAAGCTCTAGCTCGATCAGGGGCCAAACGGCAAGGGGGGAGGGGTCCAACCGACCCCCCCCCCCTACACATTAGAAGCTGGCAAACGCCGTTCACATGCGAGGGTTAAGCTGATTGGTGAGAATGAAAGCCATATTCTAATGTGTTGAATTGAAAGGCATTTGAATGGGTGAAAGAGCGTTCGGCAAGACACAGTCTTTAATACGTCATAATGCACACAATGGTCGGAACGCCGTATATACGAATCGATTCATCTGAAACAGAAGACAATCCTTCGAAATTCCGGAAGCAGTAGACAATGCGATCGGATTAGCGGTTTCACGCTACACCGACGTCCGAGATCACTAGCCAGCCCTAGCTGTATTTGACCCACCTGATAGAGTCGCGGCGGTCGGCCGGGCCGCTGCTTGCCGACCCAGGTCCACCAGGGGCCGCGGTACACGCCGTTCATCATCTGCAGCTCGTTCACCAGGTGCGTGCTCTGGAATATCATCACCGTCAACAGCAGCGTCTCCAGCAGAAGCAGGAAGGCCACCAGGAATCCGTGGTCACTGGCCCACTCCAAAATGGCGATGATGCATCCCTTGGTGTAAATGGTTTGACTGGCAATATTGCGGTCCACCTTTTGTACGTTTGCTCCGCAAAGGGCGTTTCTGGAAGTGGTTTGATTCCTGCAGCAGGACCAGGGCACGGCACATCGCTCCGCGCTTGGATTGTCAGCGGAACATTGAAAATAAATACTAATATTCCAATCTTGAAATCCCTCCTCACGGAGACCGCAGCAGCGAAAGTTGATTTGCAAATAATCCATTGTGTCCTCAATATCTGAACTTGAGCGATAGTTGACAACCAGCCGGTCTCCTAAAAGACTGCCAACAATTTGCTTAGCAGCTCCAGTGAACGAAAATATAAAAAGTGCAGTGCACAACTTCAAAGAGAGTATCACAATGAGGGCGATGTAAAAGATGCGTATCAGAATGATGTTTTCACGGAAAACGCCGACAAAACCACACAAGTTAAAGGCAAAGTTAATCAAGCTTATCACGAGAACAATAGCAGATAAGCTTAGGACGTGTGGCGAAAAGGAATCTGTCGGTGCATATTCGTGACTTCTTCGTGCATCTATTATGAAAGCGCTGATCCATACCAACGAAAAACTAGTGCACAAAAGGAATGAGATTACAGCTAGAAGCACTCGCTTGTTTGTCTCATTGATGTCTTCTACATAATGAGCTCTCAAGGGAAAGGGCTTCCATTGTTTTACTGCTTTGACAATGCTTTCAAACAGTGTCAGCAGATCCAGTTGCGTGTCACTTTCGTCATTTGTGTCTTCCAGTGGTTCTCCTTTTGGGCTAGATTTAGATGCATCTTCTTTGGACTGTAAGACTTGCTGGGCATTTGTAGACATTTCATGGTAAGAAAACCAGTGTACCAGAGCAATGAACTAATGTCTTCAACTGCAACCATTTGAAACCACGCAAAAAGTTATGCCTGTCCGATTTGACTGAGGATAAATCATAACATCACTGCCTTTTTACTTCTATTGTAACGTTAAATTATCTTCAACAAAGCATCTGATGTAGCGGCAATGAAAAAGCAGTTGGCATGGTATTTAGCAAGGCTATATAGCCCACCAGATATCTGGAAGAATCTTGCAAGCTTATGTCCTTCGCCCTTGGGCATGAACAAAGCAATTTAAAATATTATTTAAGCTGCCCCAAGAAGATTGCTCGCAGATGAGTCGCTATGATAATGGGTTACAGATTGTGCTCAATATTGTAAAAGAACACTTCGGCTACAGTGCAGAATAGCTGTGCTTAGGATGCGCCATATATGTCTCCAGTCATTCTTTAATGGCTTCATTGACTTTGTCTTGATATCTTGATATCGTTCGAATCGCTTGATAATGTGCGTTTTCGCTGGCATTTACCTCCAATGAGGAAGATAATTGAAAAATTGATATAAGCTTGATCAATAACTTTCCTATTTTTTTTTTTTCACAATGAGCATACGATTTTATTATTTGATTTTCGTCCTTGCCGGCTGGCTGTAATTGTTTATATTTCATTAATGTAAAAGTCATAGTTTTTCCACCAACGCTGTCCGAAACACTTGGTTCTGTAAGCCATTTATGCTGTAATTGTATCGTCATTGTTTGTATGGAAAACGTTTAAACCTCTTAAGCTTCCTATATTCGTAAAAAAATAAATACAAGGGACGAATAATACCGTAAGGTGGGGCTATTTGAGACAGTGGGGCTATTTGAGACAGTATTTAAAATTGCTGTGAAACAAAAACCACTTAAAATTTATGCTTAATTTTTTGCTCAGGCGATTTACTGCTCGGTTCCACACCTCCCTGAGCAAAAATATCACACAAAAATCAAACGATCTTCATTTTATAGCGATTTTAAATACTGTCTCAAATAGCCCCACTGTCTCAAATAGCCCCACTTTACGGTATGTATTTGTTATCCCGCGCTCTCTGAGCTATTCAGCCGAACGTGCCCCGCAGGGGAAGGGGGTCGATTGTGCCAACTGTCAAACTTCCGAACAGATGGTTATAGAAAGACGGCAAAAACAGCAATCGAAGAGCAACCAAGACGGATCTTAGCACTTTTCGCCTAAGTAAGCTACAGGCCAGGTTAAGGTCAGGTCAGTGGAAAAAACTGCAAGTTTCTTCGCTACTGGCTTTGAAGCTAAGCTGGCGGAGAATAGAGCATAGACTGAGACTGATCACCCAGAACGCGATATAAGCCTGCCAAAATAAAGTGCATTCCATGCATGCAGTGTCATGCAGGGTTCAAGCCCAAGGTCAAGGTTAGGTCAGGTCACCAAAGACGAATTATTGAATTGGACATGTGCGGCACAGGTTTTACGTGTCATTTTACTCATAACTAGAACTCAATGGGCATGCTCAACTAGTGATGTAAACTATACATGGATGAAGCTAATATTGTGTTCAGGTCAAGGTTAGGTCAAGTGATGTCAAATTTTGAAGTTAGCTTTTAAGACAAAAACAAAAATGTGCATCTCATGCTACTGTTCACGCCGAATCGAATGGTGCTTTTTCTATTCCTGTATAAAGTCAGGAACAATGTGGCTTTTTTACAATGTGGCTCGTCGTGGCATATCTAAGATTTTGTTTTCTTTGTTGGGTTAGTTTTTTTCGTTCAATTGTGACCATTGCAGAACCATAAAGATGATAGGAATTAGGGGGAGACATTGATCTGGGCGGGCACCATAGAGAGTCGCCGGGGCTGAGCCCATCTCATTGGGCTCACGGAGGCGCCACGCGCCTCCGTAAAGTACAAGTAAAAAAAAAAAGAGGACAGTGGGTAGTAACACCAGACAAGCGTGCACGAGCTCACGTTTGCATTTTTCAGATTGATGGCATCGGTAGTATGCACAATACGAGATGCTGCTTGTAATTGTTATGTACATACGTCAATAGTATGTTACCCTGAAGCTCAGCTTTGCACTTAATCGCAAACCTCCATGTGTAATATAACAACCATCTGGTCCAATGTCATTGCACGCTTGGCGTAGCTGCTTGAAAAGGTACGGCGACTTCTACCAATCAGCCCCCCCTCCCTCACTCCTCCCAGTCGAAATTCATTGGCAACGACCCTGGTTACAAGTCACCGATCAGACCTAAAAGGTGCTGCAGAATGAACCGTGCAGCCACGGCAAACACCAGAAATTGGTACCCCAATGGTTCCGCGTTTCAGAGCGTAAAAAGCAGTACCGGTGTGTGTAGAAATAAATTTGCTTTGTTATTTTATGCCTAAAAATAGATACCTGCAGACAGACAGAAACGTACTATCTCAGACCTTTTCAAAGCCCATGTTGATGTGTACTCTTACAGAAACTCTTCTCCTATAACTCATCATCCGCCATTCAAAGCATGCATATCAAAGCCAGTCGTGTATTGAGAGCTACTATCGCGGTTACATTCAGTCATCAGTTCCTAGGGGGAGAGTAGGAGCCGCTACCGCTCCCACTGGCGCCACCCTGTCCGCCGAACCGGAAGTCCAGGCCGCCAGAGCCATCTGTGCCGAATCCGCCTCCACTGCCGCCGGCGGATGGAGAGGCGTAGCCGCGACCGGGTCCGCCAGAGACAAAGCTGCCGCGTCCAGACCCTCCAGCAGAGCCAACGAATCTTTGTCCTCCAGATCCTCCAGAGACGAAGGCGCCGCCCGAGCCGCCAGCAGAACCAGATCCTTGTCCTCCAGAAACGAAGGCGTGACCCGAGCCGCTAGCAGAGCCAGTGAACTGTCCTCTGGATCCTCCAGAGACGAAGGCGCCGCCGGAGCCGCCAGCAGCGCCGGTGAATTGCTGTCCAGATCCTCCAGAGACGAAGGCGCTGCCGGAGCCGCCGGCAGAGCCGGAGACGAAGCCTCCGCCGGAGCCTCCCGCCGATCCGGAGACGCTACCTGCTCCGGATCCTCCAGCCGAGCCGCCGACGCGGAACACGCCGTCGCCGGACTGGTCCACGGTCACCAGGTTGCACACGGTGACCGTCTGGGTGACCGTGAAGACCGGCAGAGTGCTGAACACGTCCCTGGTGGTCGTGGTACGCAGGGTGCGCACCTCCGCGCCAGTGACGACTGTCGCGTCGTGAGCGACGTTGGTGGTGACCGCGGTGCGGGTCACAGTCACGGAGCGGTGCACGGTGCGGTAGACGGTGGTCGAGGTCAGGAACGTCTTGAATGTGGTCATGACGGCCGTGATTGTGGTGACGGCCGGCACCGTCTCCGTCTGCGTCACGTAGTTGTTGACCGTGTCCGTGTAGGAGACGTGGTCAGTCACGGTCCTGAAGCGGGTGTCCAGGAGGAAGTTGGTGCCGACCTGTGAAAGAGAGACAGTTTTCAACGAGATGTAGGCAATTGTTCATAGCTACTTACAATTAAAAGAAATAGACCGAAGAAAAACAAAAATATGCTACCACTCTAGGCTAATAGAAAATGATCAAGTTAGCATTTATGATAAATGTTTAACAGAATTTAACGTTAATGCGGGTGTAGGACTTTTAGGCTAAACTTGTTTATGTTTAAATGGTCCAAAATAAAATTGCAAGATAATGAGAGAAATGCCGTAAAAGGCTCTAAGCTGTTCTTTATCATGTTTAAGGGGTAAAACCCTGCTATAATTATAGAGTCGCGAAAACAGTCTAGAGACAGCTCCAGTCTGCACACAGGATCCTCACCGTGTATCCGGTGGTGGTGACCAGTCGCTGGGCGCTCTGGACGTTGCCCTGCTGCAGATGGGTGACCGTGTGGGTGATTGTCTTCGGCGTCGGCCGAAGCACAGTGGCCGTCACGTACTTGGTCTGGATGCTCTCCGCCACAGAGTGGATCACATTGGTGACCGTGGTGTGCGAGAACCGGGTGGTGGTCACCACGCGCGTGCTCGTCGGGCAGGTGAACGAGGGCTCGATGGAGACTCGGGAGCTGCCGAACCGGTCAGCAGTGCCGCTCGACGATCCAGCGCTGCCAGACGACCCAGAGCCTCCGGAGCCGCCCCGGAAGGCCGCGGATCCGCCGGCGCCGACCACGAAGGACGCAGAGCCGCCAGCGCTGCCGAAGGATCCGGAGCCGCCAGCGCTGCCGAAGGATCCGGAGCCGCCAGCGCTGCCGAAGGATCCGGAGCCGCCAGCGCTGCCGAAGGATCCGGAGCCGTAGGAGCCGGTACCGGCGGAGTCTGTGCCGAAGCGTACTTCAGAGCCGCCAGACCCGCCACCAGAGCCGTAGGAGCCGGCACCGGCGGAGTCTGTGCCGAAGCGTACTTCAGAGCCGCCAGTGCGGAACACCGTGAAACCTCCGGAGCTAGAGCCAGAGACGGAGCCTCCGGAGCCGGAGCCAGAGCCAGAGCCGCCGGCGTAGGAGCCGCCGCCGGCCGGGAGCGGCTGTCTGCCGAGGACCGTGAACTGTTGTGGAGAGCTGATGCTGGACGCGACTTGGAACACAGTGTCTCCGCCGGACGAACCATCGGAGCCGCCAGAACCTGCAAAAATAATTCTCTGGTCACAAAGGGTATTTGATAGTCAACCACGCACTTCCGATATGGAGCAAAGCACAGCCGATTAGACGCAAGAAGCAAACTCACTTCTCTTAAAGATAAACATGCAACGCATGGTAGTTCCACATTAAGCAGCAGTCAGTTCAGTTGGGCCTCGGCTCATCGTTCACATCAGTGTAGCTTATAATGCACGAGGAATACAGTCCTACAAAAACATGACCAAAGCGTCGTAACAGGGAACTCACCGAAACGGTTTGCATTGGCTTTGTTGAACTCGTAGCCTTGTCCGCTGGCAGACACGACCAAGCAGAGTAGCACCAGAGACTTCATCCTGAAATAAGCAGAACGGCTTCAGTCACACTGCAAGTGAAACACCACGCCAGCATGAACGACAGTTACCCCCGATTAAGTCGTGTGAAATAAAGTTGCTTTATCAGGCACTAAAAATAGGCATCTGTTAACGCGTACTATACGAAAAGCTAGGAAAGCCCAGAGGAAACCAAAGTAATCTTGATCTTGAATCGACCATCAAAATTCAGCGCATACAGCTCAAACTATCGCACTTTCCTTCACTTCCCTCACCTGACGATCAGCGGTTGCTCCGTGGTGATCCGGCCCGGCCCCACGACTGGCTTCCCTCCGCTGGGCCGACCCCGAGGTCAGCGCCGGGTCACGTGAGCTCAGCTGTTCACGCCCCCCGGCTACCGCAGCGCGGCCGCGCGGCGTCAGCGGTCAAACGCGGGGCAGCGTCATAAATGAAACTACGGTCGTAAGGGAACGTTTACTATAGTTTCAGATAACATTATGCTGTCTCATTGCACGTATGGCTTATTTATAATAATGAGGGACCCCTGCAGCTCGTGTTACTCATAACTACGCTAACAACAATGCGAGCAGTTTGATACAACACATTGACTGACTTATAAAAGTACCTACGTTCCATCCATTCGTAGAAATTATGCGCTATAGCGAAAGTGCATTCTCAACACATTTGCACTCTTACATTCTATCGTGTGCTACGTTCATGGATATTCGCAAATCGCAATTATAATGTTATCAGCATCAAGCATATGACCGTCATTTATATTATTTGCACATCTCCCTGTCCTGATTCATATTGAAGACCTATTTTTATCTGTGAACTAGCGAAACAGTTCGTCTAGATATTTCTCTTTTCCAGATCTGACCGCGTTATTGGTATACCTAAATAATGCATTCGCCTACCAAAAGTAAAACCATCCATGCATCTACCCCATTAATTACGTTCATCGCGCTATGATGTAAACGACAATCTATCGTAAAGCAATTAGGAATATTTAGTCTGTTTAGTTTTTCGACCTCGAAACATTTTAGATACCTAGATCAATGACAGGATACCTTACCGTCACACTGAGCCTAGTTGACCGCCAACAGACCATACGTGCACACTGCCCAGGTCACGACTGGGTCACAATTGGGTCACGGCAGGGTCATGACTGGGTCACAGCGGGGTCGAGGCTGTGTCACGTTTGGGCCACGGCTGCGTCAGTCTCAGGCATGTCAGTCTAGTTCGGGTCGGGGCTGGGTCAGGGCCCGGCCAGTGCTGTGTCTGAGTAAGATCACGGTCTGGTCACGGTTAGGTCACGGCTGTGGCTCGTTTAGGCCACGGCTCGGTCACGGCTGAAATTAACCTGTTGCCTCCGTGTCGATACCCAGCCGGCCCGGAGATGACCAGACAGGTGCAGCGCAGGCGCTCAGTCCGATCAGCTGACGCGGCCAACAGTCGGTAGCCCCCCAGTGGGTCACGGCTGTGCGCAGATGGGCAGCGCGTGCAATATGCGTGCGGCCGCGTCGGCGCCCTCGTCGCGTGGACCACCTGTTTGTATTGGAGCCCCCGACGGCCTCCGCGGCGGCGGCACACATTCCGCCTGCGGCGCTGCCAAAGCCGACGGCGTCGCCGCGCAAAAATACTCGTCGGCAGCGTCGGCGCCGACGGCGCAGACGGGACGAGCAGTGGCGCGCGAGTGTCGAGCGGCGACGAGCGAGCGGCGCCGGCTGGCTGGTGCGGCGCGAGCCCTGGTGCCGTGTGTGAGGGGAGGTGTGGTGCCGGTTGGACAGAGTGGTGCTGGTGACGCTCGGATACGACCTGGGCACTGCAGAGGAGAACATCTGCTTCACTTACCGTTTTTCTTGGTGAGATGTGTCGCCATGTGATGCAATACGGTGCTTTACCAAAACAAAAAATTATCAAGAATAAGTGACATTTCAGAGTTTAATGATCAAGATATTAGGTAGCCTTTGAGTTCGGTATTTATCTCGACTCTTTAGCCAAACCACAAATGTTCGTGGCTAGGATTTTCAGAGTTATTGACTGCAGTCGTTTCAGAATGCATGGAAAAGCTGTTTTTAAAAAGCCTTGGTCGTTGCATGGCATCTAGCTGGATTTGAATTATATCGCGGGCGTGTCACTATAAGTAGGGTCAGGGCTGGGTCAAGGACAGGTCAGGGCCGTTTCTGGGTTAGTGGGTTAGGTCACGGCCTGGTCAAGGTTAGGCCACAGCTACTGTTAGTTACGGGTTGTGTCGTGGTTGAAAATCAAATGTATCAGTTTATGCTTGATTGAGTGATAAGTAATGTCAATACATGAGAGCTCACGTCAAAGCCGACGCCGTGATTTGGAAGTGACAAATGAAGGCAAACTTGTTCGCAGAGCAAATAGTAGGTATTCTAATCACTTTTGCCATTTTACTTTGCGTCGAATGATCGCGTCGGTATATTTCAGCTTGAAACGTCTTCTACTAAATATGCGCAAAAAACGTGAAGAAAATTCGCCAGGGGCTGAGACCGCTGAGTGATATGCACCGATCCTTTACCGTCAGCTGGAAAGTGAAGCCTTAAAAGTTTAAACCTTATTGTATGCTATCCCTGGTAGCCTAATCTGAAATATGAGCTATGCTCGTGAAATAGCTGTGGTTATTTTCTTTCTGACTTTCGAAGATTTTTATCTCTCTCTCTCTCTCTCTCTCTCTCTCTCTCTCTCTCTCTCTCTCTCTCTCTCTCTCTCTCTCTCTCTCTCTCTCTCTCTCTCTCTCTCTCTCTCTCTCTCTCTCTCTCTCTCTCTCTCTCTCTCTCTCTCTCTCTCTCTCTCTCTCCCCCTCTCTCTCTCTTCTCTCTCTCTCTCTCTCTCTCTCTCTCCCCCCTCTCTCTCTTCTCTCTCTCTCTCTCTCTCTCTCTCTCTCTCTCTCTCTCTCTCTCGCTCTCGCTCTATCTCTCTCTCTCTAAATGCCCTTGTTGACATAACCGGCTTGACAAAAGGTCTAACCCCGCCGGCCGAGGGGGGGGGAGCGGATGTCGTCCCCTCCTGACGTTTTGTCGCTATTGCTCGGAGCACGCTGGCGACAGAGAGCTAAACTTCGCACACCTGTCTTGATGCAAGCCAGTCACAGTCACTTTGACTGGCTGTAACCGTGGCGACTATGACAGTGACAATAACTGTGGTGACCACTGGCTAGACTACGTTAATAGGTATGTACGTGACTGTGTGACTATGACTGCGACTCTGACTGTCACGGTGGTGATTGCTATTGGGACTGTGACTATAACCGAGACTTGGACTATTGCTGTGACTATAACTGTGACCGTGACTGCAGATTTGACTGTGACTGCGACTGAATGTACTGTGACTGTGACTGTATTTTGACTGTGAACTGTGACTGTAACCGTGGCTGTGACTGTGACTATAACAATGGTGACTGATTGTGACTGTGACTGTGACTGTGACTGACTGTAGCTATGGTTGTGACTGTGTGGACTGTGACTGTGACTTGTGTCTGACTGTGGCTGTGGCTGTGACTTAGGTAGCGATATTTCTGTGCGACATGTGGTGACTGGAGTTGTGGTGACTGTGACTGTGACTCTGTGGCTGTGACGTAGCGACATTCCTGTGTGGCATGTGGCGGGCGCCCCGGGCGGACCTCGGATGACGCTGTACCGGCGGCGGCTAAGAATAGGCCTCCGCTGGGTGACACGGGCCTCACTGAGACACACGGTCAGTGTCCTTACACTGCGCCCGTCGTCCGTCGGTCGGGGGGGGGGGAGGGGCGTCCCAGACGAGAGAAGGGGGTCGGTGCATTGCGCTGAGACACACTTTCCGTAATCAGACACCGGCTATATGACACCTCGGCGATCAACTCTCATCGGCCGCGACAGCCAAGCAGAGATCAAGTTTAGTCTTACGGGTGTCTTCTTCTCACTGCATCTGCCAAGGCTGGGTTGGTGGCCCCAGCAGTCACATGGAATTCTCAGAACGTCGGAGGCGATGAGGCTTATAGTCACGTGGGCTGCCTAGGACTATGGCAGAAGTAACGGACGTCGGATACATGCTAGATGTCACATGGGGTCTACAACTCTACAGAACTTCGCATCAGTATTGTGGACGAGTCATGACGCGGGTATTGAGCGAGCTGATTGCAAATGCAATTCGGACAAAAGAGAGCGACGCGTAGCCTTGCTGTCACAGCCTAGCAATTGCAGAATCGCATTCGACGGTTCAACGTTTCATATACATACATATGTGCGCAATTATCTTATTCACCGCACTCATATTATAAGAAAAACCATGGATTAACCCTCGCATGTGTAGGGGGGTCGGATGGACTCTCCCCATTGTTTTTCGCGAATAACTCGCGCAAAAAGCGGCCCATTGCGACGCAACTTTCAGTACCCTCGAGTTGATCAATTTTACACCTACTCGTAAAATTTCATGACCTTGACCGAAGTGACCTTTGACCTGTGACCTACTTTCCGAGACAATGTTTGGCCGGAATCGCGATTCGGCATGTCGGCTCGCATTAGCCGCGCGTTCGCAAGCTTTTCGTGGTTTCAAACGTTCAAGCATGTGATTTGATGCTGCTCTCATGCATTAGGGTGGATGTCAAGGTCACCTGAAGGTCAGGTCAGGTCATTGACCTTTGGTGACCTCGGCTTACTTTTTCTAGTTTTACATGTTTTAGGGTAGTTTTTGGAGCTCAATTCGAATTTAGAAACCATTTGAACATTTACGAAGCAGTTTTGGTGCCTTCGTAACATGTTACGAAGCTATCAGAGGTGGTTGACACCTACTACCAGGGTTGGCATTTTTGCCGGCAAAAACTAGTTTATGCCATTTGCCGGTTTTAAACCGGTTTTAACCGGCAAAAACTGGCAAAAACTGGCAAAAACTCAGAAATATCACAATGCTATGCCTAGACATGATTTTGAACAGGAAACATTTTAAGGAGAATTCGGTGAAAGCTTTATGCTTTCAAACAGAAGCGACATTGACCATTGAAATGTTTCATACCTAACTCAGAATCATTTTCATGGGCTATCCATAAGGAGCTAGTAAGATGCCTTTTGGGGGTGACAAATGAGCCAGTGCAAGGGTGACTGGGTGAGTCCTGCACAATCAGAAGTGCGAAGAGGTATCTGCCACTGATATGCGCACGGCACCGCATGGCACCCTACTTACCGTGGCCGCCTTGTCCCTGTCTCCCCTTACATGGAAAAACATTCCGTTGTGGATGTCTACCGACATGCATAGACATTTTAAGCAGGGATAAGTAATGAGGCAACTTCAGAATGTTTAGTGCATCTATGTATATAACTACTAGAAATGCATTTGTACATTTCA